GCTTTATGCAAATCATTAATGTATATTAGAAAAAGAAGTGGCCTCAAAATTGATCTTTGAGGAACACCACATTAAATATCTAACATATTTTTTTGATAAAGATCGTTAAAAGAAACAAATTTTTTCAGTTTGTTAAATAACTTTTAAACCATTTCAAAATTTACACCATCTACTCCATAATATTCAAGTTTAGGAATCAAAATGCCATGATTTACTGAATCAAATGCTTTTGATAAAATCAAAAAAAAAAACCTAAAGTAAATTGTGAATTTTTGAAAAAGTTAGAGATTTCACGGACGAATTGGATGATTGCATGCTCAGTAAAGCTATTTTATTAATAACCAAAACAATTTTTATAAAAGAAATACTTCTCCTTAAAATAAGTATATAATCTATTGTAAATAATTTTTTCTAAGATTTTTGAAAATGTTGATAAAATAGAGATAGGTCGGTAGTTACATATATCAGTTATGTCTCCTTCATTGTATATTGGGATTTTCTTTTTAACTATTTATTTAAGCTATTTTTAACTTATCAGGAAAAACTCCTTGTTGTATTGACGCTCTGAAAACTTTAAAGAGAATATCTTTTAATTATTCAAATCATTCTAAGACTATGTTTCTATTTATTTCATCTGCTCCAAGGGCTTTTTTTTTTTTTAATAGATTTAAACGACACTTCAAACTCCTCAAATGATAGCTCAGAAGATAAATTATTGGAGCCAATGCAATCATTCATCGGTGTTAAAAAGTTATTGAGCACAACTTAGCTGTTAGGAGTTTTATTTGCTAGGACAGAACCGATATCAACAAAGAATTTTTTAAAGTCATGAGCTATTAATCTAAGTTCAAAAACATCTTTGTTATCCACTCTAATCACCTTCGGAAGGGAGTTCTATGTCTTTCCCCATGCCTCTTAAGGTGAGTGGAAACTCACCTTAAGAGGCATGGGGAAAGACATAGATCGGGTCCATATAGGTAGCAAAAAATTTAACAAAAATACGTAAAGGCGAGTTTCCACTCATCCGTTTTTTCACGGAAACGGGAAAGAGAAGGGAAAAAAAATCACGTGCATGCGTATTATAAGTTTTAATTTGTCCGAAGTAAAACTACGCATGCTCACGTGATTATTTTTCCCTTTCCTATCTCGTTCCCGTGAAAAAACGGATGAGTGGACGCAGTTAACAACTGTTTTACCGTCTAAAAAAACTTACACTGGGTAACAAAAAAAAAACTTTTTTTTTGTATCTTTAGCAATTTTATTCAAATTATACAAATTTTGGGCTGAGAAAAAAGAATATGACAACGAAATTTTTTTATTAGCTCTAGTTTCTGACTGAGATACACAATACCCCCTCCCCCTCCCCCACACATAAAAAGTTGTGGGGGTGAGGGGGAAGAAATCGATGTTTGAGTGGAGGAAATAAATCTTGAGGGATATGTTAAGGTGAGTTTCCACTCATCTGTTTTTCTACGGGAAAGGAAAGGGAACGGAAAAATAATCACGTGAGCATGCGCAGTTTTCTTTCGGACAAATAAAAACTCTTATTACGCATGCTCACGTGATAATTTTTTCGTTCCCGTTGAAAAACGGATGAGTGGAAAGTCCAAGTTGTCAGTCTTCTGTTTAGCAAGCGCTTTCGCGCTCAAATCTTTTCGCGCTCGCCAACATGCCCGCTAATACTTTGGCGAGCGCATAAAAAGGGACTAGCCAAAAAAAAGTAAAAGCGTTTTATTTTAAATTACAAAAAAACTTTTTTGTTCATTTGCTTAACTTTTTATTACCTTTATTTCCCAAGTTTCTTTTTTTTTTCCCTTTAAAACTTTGTCAAATGCAGGATCCTTCATAAGTTGACGTATTTGTAGCCCAACAAAAATACCCTCTTTAACTTTGGCATCACTTATCTTTGGAAATTTGTTTCTTAAAGACTTAAAAGCCTGTCCTTTTTTGTTCTTACCTTTGATAAAAGTTTTCATCAAACCTAACTTGATATGTAATGGTGGAAGAAGAACATCTTTTGAATTCACGAGTGGGTCAGCAATAACATTTTTTTTTATCTGTGTTGAAATTTCTTGCAGGCTAGTCTTCTTTTATATGTGAACTTCTGTCTCTACTCTCCCACATACACAAAAGGCAGCAGTATTTAGTATAGCCTAATTGCATTTTTAAATGTAAAGCAATGACTTTTAGATAACCACAAATTTTCTATTTGTGTTCATTGTAAATAATTGAGTTGAGGAGAACTTTCATGTTTATATAAGTCTCTTTCATGTGAACTGCATGGCCAATAGGAATAGAAGGAAGACTGTTTCCATTGTGCAGTAATACAGCTTTCAAGCTAAGCTAAAATTAGTTTATGAATAATCTCTATTCAGTTAGATCATAGTTCAAATTAAGACAATACATTAATCCAAAGACATCAATGCCAACAACAGGATTATTTTTCTTCTCAAAAAAAAAGCAGATTTTGCTACCGTTTTCTGTAAAACCTTGACATCAAATTGAAGTGGATACTATTGCTTTAGTCTTGACACTAGAAGTTCTACCTTTTCCTTTGACAAGTCCAGATCTTGTATAATTTAACTTAATTCTGCTTGACTCAATCTGTGCGGCAAAGATCTTTTTTTATTTTCCAACCATTCTTGTAGTGTAACCGAACAAGAGCTACAACAATAACATATATGTAGAGTCCATGACTTGTCCTGGTCCCCTATCTTCATATTGAGGGAATACAGGTAAACAAGAGGTGTCATGGTTCTTTTCTGCGAGTAAAGTGTTATTTCACCACAAATGTAGCGAAAATTGTCCACTAAATTTACACACTTCATTGGCATATAGATTTGTCAAATATTACACTAGTAAATGAAAAAAAAATACAAAGAATATATTAGACCAGAACTCTAGCTAATGCACATAACTAATATCATAAGTTTTGAACATAAATAAAAGATTGGTAGTCAAAAATAAAATTTTTTTTTTCCAAAATATCAAAATTTATATACTTAAGAGAAAATTTTTGCTTTTATTTTTTAAACTAGAGCTAATATGTAATTTTTAATGTCATTTTTGAATTCAGCAGGTGGAAATGCGTAAGAAATAACTAATTTTGGTTCCGATACAAAATCACTGTTGGGCAGTGTTATTAATGTTACATTGGTATCAATAACTTAATAATATGTTATTTAGACATATAAAACACGTTTTGTGATGGTTTGTTAAAATAGCAGATGCAAAGTGAGCATAAAAAAAGTGTAAATAAAAACAAATTCACAAAAACCAATACTTTCCACAATAAGCATTTATTTTGTTGGAAGTCAACCTGTACAAGATATCTAAAGCTTTAAACTGAATTTATTTAGTTAATAAAAAACATGGTTTTAACCTTGTTTATTTTTTAATTGATTGGATTATAAATTTTATCGTGTTTTTAAGGAACACACACACACAAAAAAAAGAAAACAGTTCATAAAGCTTGATACTTTTCTCTCACCAAAAAATACAGTCACTTACAAATTAAAAAATTACAAATACCCCATTATGTTCCGTTTAATATAAATAAACCATTTTGGTTCTATGGTTAGCATGCAAGCTTTTTTGTATAAGTATCTTTATAAAAAAAATTAATTGAAAAAACAGGATTAAATAAATATTTCTGGCTAAAAGTGCTCCAAATTTAGGAAACTTCAGGCTAAAAAAAAATGTGTTTGTTATTTAAAAAACGTGTTCAATTTAAAAGTTATTGCATAAAGAACTTTTTTTTCTATGTTGTAACTTTAGCATCAATACAGTAAGAGTGATTTAAGTACATTTCTACTCACTAAGATATTTTATAACGGCTCATTTTTTAACAACTGGAGTTGAATAGTCATTTTATATTCAATATAATATATTAAATATGATGCATTTTACACGGGATATTTTTTTTACTTATGTTGTAATTAATATTAAGTGTTTAAAGTCTACATAATTCAAAAAGCAATATGTATAGACAAGATAACATTACTATTTGTTTTTTACTAATATATTGTATTTATTGTAATATTGTATTTTTGAGGTTCTGAAACCTGAAATTGTATTCTTTTATGATTGAATCTATAAGCATACACTCACAGAATAATCTCTTCTTACAGTTATAATCTCTCGCTACATTTTCGAAATTCAAAAAAATCTAATTAATTTTTTATTAAATAAATATTTTTACTAATTCCTTGCTCCTTTACTACTATCCATCTCAAATCTTTACTTGCTACAATACTGGTTTAATACTACTAAAACATGTTTTTTTTTCTTTCTTCAAATTAATATTGCTCTATTTATTACCATTCTATTTAAACTCTCATCATTATAAGTATTGCTATTTTTGTTATTATTATTATTATTATTATTATTAATATAATCAATATACCAAGTATATTATTAATAACTGTAGTTTTATTAATACAGCTATATATGTATATATATATATATATATATATATATACATATATATATATATATATATATATATATATATTATATATATATATATATATATATATATATATATATATATATATATATATATATATATATATATATATATTGTGTAACTGTATATTATTATAATATATGTATATTCAATAAAATCAAATTTAAATGAAGATGCATTTTTTTCTATACTTTTCAAACGTTCATTTTTATTACCATTATTTATTTCTAAATATTTATAAATAAATCTGAAATTTAAATAGAGTTCATTAGATTGATTTAAGTAAACATATTATACTCAAAAGCAAGTTTTACCTGACTAACAAAAATCAAGAATATGTTTTTCACAAGACAACCTTGTCTACTTAACTGTTTTGAAAATGCTGGGTTTATTTTTATTACAAGTAATGTATTCATTTTTGTTTTTATGACTGTTTTAAGGTTTTTGTTATATTTTTTGTTTTAATTTTATGAATGTTCTATAGCAGTATATCTTAAATCATTTTATTAAGGGTTTACTTCTTTAAATACAGATAAAAGAGGAATACGGCACATTTCGTGGAAAAAAAGAGGTATTTATTCTGTTTGATTTTTTTTCATATTTTGCTATTTTTTATGTTGTTATATATAACCTTCTGAATTAACTTATAATACATGTGTCAATTTATAAGGTGTTAAATATATTTTGTTTGGTTATTTTAATTTTTTTTGAAATAAAAATTGTTTTATGTTAAAGTGACTAGATTTTGACTGAGTTTAGTAAGGAGTTCAAAGTTGTAATTTACTTGCAATAAATTACAACTTTGAACTAAGATGCTTTTTTCTTCAATAAAAGCTACTATAATTACAGACCACAGAAATGCCAAGTATTCTAGAATACTATAGATATAGCATTCTAGAATGCTATAGATATAGCATTCCACAATGAAGTTTAAGTATGTTATATGAATAAATGATTTTTCTTAACCAAGATAGATAAGTTAGATAAATAGCAAGCCTTTTAACTGTTAATCAGTTTTTTTGATGATATAAAGGACTCATTAAATGTTCAAGGTGAGTTTATTGAAATGTTTTTAAATCTAGTGTTATTTTATTATATAAAACACATTAAAAGGAACCATCAGAAATTTTCAAAAGTTTTGTTTTTAGAGCCACCATAGGATAATATATTTTTCTAATTTGCAGATTTTTTTAAAAGGCAAAATAGATACCTACTTGCTTTTTCCATTTAATATTTTGTCCAATTTTAAATTCAAAATTTAATAACAAGTTTATTTTTTCTTTATTTCTCCAGAGTGACCATAGACTACTTTATTACTGTCAATGTACTTTATTACTTTCTTTATTAATCTTTATTAAGTTTAAAACCTAATAACTAAATATGAATTTATGAAATTACCATGGTGCATGTATAAATATATACACACACCTATAGTAAAGGCGTTAAGTATACAGTTTGTGGTAAAAAACAGCTCGTAGCTTGTCTATGTTTTTAAACTGACAGCATTAAGGTTAGGTTATAACAAAATGCAATAATTTAAAACTAAATAAGTTAAATGTTTTTTTAAAAAACCACAAAAAGGAAAATTAAAAGACTAGAACGTTTTTAAAAATATTCTAAATGTTTTTATTTGATTTTTTGAAAATAAAAGCATTCTGAATGTTTATGATTTTATTTTTTTACTGTATAATATGCACGGAGTGTTTCTAAATTGACAATCTTATAGCCTGCTGCCACAAGGCAGTGCTGCTACATCAGCAATCTTATAGCCTGACTCTCAACAGAGTGCAGCTACATAAACTGAGGGTTTGGTTAGGGCAGGCAGTCTACCAAATGATAATAAAAAAAAAACTTTTTCTGGTCTTCAAAATAGTTAAAAAAAAAAAAAAAAGTAGTTTTGAAAACCTAAAACTGAAAAAATCTAAAACTAAAGGTATATATATATATATATATATGTATATATATATATATATATATATATATATATATATATATATATATATATATATATATATATATATATATATATATATATATATATATATATATATATATATATTATATATATATATATATATATATATATATATACACACATCTATTAGGGTTATGGCTCAAATCAATGAAAATTTGAACAAAAGCAATTAAAAAACTATAACAGGATTTTTTTTTGTTAAAAAAAGGTCATCTACAAACCAAAAACTTGAATTTACCATATATACCATATGGATGAAATTTCAAAAAATTTTATGATTTTTTTTTATTTAAATTTTTTCGATTAGAAAGTTATTATGAAGGTTTTAAGCATTTAACAGTTTAATGTTTCATCGTGACACTCTAGATTACAAATGAATATAAAATTACAAACTTAAATAACAATTCTACAAGTACGAAAAGCTACTATATATTTGGAAAAGTTGTTGTTTAGTATTCAGCTTAATTAAAAAGTAATAAACAATTCTTGTGCTTTTTTAAACAAAATAAATCTAAGCTGGAGGTTTTCTTTTTTTTTTACAGATGTCAATAAGGTCTTGAAGACTTAATTGCTCTTTCTGCTCACTGATTTGTTCTGGGAATTTCCAGTCTCAATAGTTTCTGATTCCAAAACTTTTTCACTGAGTTTAACACTTTTTTGTGACTGTGCAAACTGCTACATAACTTCCAATAATCAGCAGTGTTTTACATTTGGTCAGTAAACCAATGGTTCATCCATCTGTAAGATATGAATTTACAAATGTCAAGTATGTCTCTTCTTTTTGGTTAAAGTATAATTGCTAAAAGAGCCAGGAATTCCATCTTGCATTATTTAATTTAGGTATTTTCAGAAATTTTAATACTGTAATAATAAGTAATACTGCAGGTTTTTACAAAACATTATGAAATAAAATAGAAATTTCATATCATAATGCCATTCTGCTGTTTCAGCAATTACTTCTTCACCATTTTTAAAATTCTTCCTTAGATGTTTGTAGTTCTTTTCATATTAAGGGATAAACAGATATTCAATATTGGGTGACATGTTGTTTCCTCCAAATTCTTTATCCATTACTACGCAAAGGTCAAGAACATGATATTGACAACCAATTAAATTGTGGTTATTCCAGTTTCTTTTCAGTAAAACGTCTTTGTAACTGACTGACAATCCCATTCTTTCTTTCAGTGTTTACATCTGTAGTGTCCACTACAATCATCTTTATACTCTTTCATAAATTTTATTCATTGAGAATAGCTGTTATACCTTAAACAATAGTATCTGATTTTTCATTTGGTAGATCAGGTGTTTGTTACTTAACTTCTCTTTTTTTATTCTTCAACACTTGATATTCTTGTTGACTAATACGTTCACCATCAAATGACAGTGACCAGCTTTTAAATGTTGTGCTTTCTTCATTTCTTCTTTGAGTTTAACAGCTTTTTTAATAATTGATCTAAATATACCAGATTGTGAAGGTATCTGAATGTTAATCCCATCTTGAAGTAACTGTAGACAAATCGTTACTACTTTTCTAGTTGATAACTTTGAAGGTATTACTAATTTAATTATAGTTTTAGATTTGCTGTAATTCTTTTAAACTGTTCTTCTGAGCCTTTAGGCTCTTGATATTCTGCCTCAGATTCAGATTCAGAAGTTGACGTTGTTGCGTTCTCCGTTACTGTTTTTGAATTTTTATACCAACCTGTCCTTTGCTTTCAATCTGGCGATGATGCAATCTTTTGTCTGCAGAGCTATTCAATATCTTTTTTATTCAATATCTATGTCAAAAACTTCATTCAATGAATCATATTTTCTTTGTTTTAGACATTTATCTTGCGCCTTGAGCACTTGATCCAGTTTTGCCTGTAGGGCTTAAATTGATTAATGTGGAAAATTTTATTTTATTTTGCCATAAACTTTTTAATTCTTTCTCAATTTGTTTTATGCCTTTCTCAATTTGTTTTTGCTCAAAAGTAATGAAAATCCATTTTCATTACTTTTGAGCAAAATTAATATATATTTAATTTTAAAATTTAAATTGTTATATATTATTGCTGTAAATGTAGAAGTTGATTTTACATTTAAATGTTTATTTTATATTGTATAAAAAATATTATTTTAGGAAGATGTTATTCGCTTTATCAAAGTGCATGCACCATTTAATGTTTTATGTGAGTATGCTGAAAATCTAAAAATGAAGATGCCTATAAAAGATTATGACATATATATAAATGAATGGTACTATGGAAAGTTATATAGTATGATTAAAAGTATTGATCCATTTGTAATTCGTGATAAATACACAAGAGATGAGAAAAAATATTTTGTTAAAGTATTTGACCGAGATCAAATTTCAGAATTTATCTACAGTGATAAGCCAAATTTTTTTTCAACCATTAAGCGAAGAAGAATAGTATATTCCATCCTTGAAAAAGTAAAGTATGGTAAAGGAGAGTTAGATTTAGGTATAGATAATCTTCAAGCCAGGGGTATTTTTCTTGATATCTTTCCACTGCACAGAGGGCCTTTAAAAACAAATCCCAAAGATATCCCAATAAATGATCGCCAATATTTACAAGAAGACTGGGCTAGTATAAGACGTGTTTTTAAATATCAACCTATTGAAGCCATTCGAAATTATTTTGGTGAAAAAGTCGCACTTTATTTTGCATGGCTAGGATTTTACACATCTTTTCTTGTCCCAGCCTCAATTGTTGGACTTTTATGTTTTTTGTATGGTATTTTTTCTACATTTGATTCTCCTATTGTTAAAGAAGTTTGTAATCCACATAATGAGACAGATGGCACATATAAATTTTACATGTGTCCTTTGTGTGACAAACTTTGCTCATATTATTTGCTACATACACAAGGTTGTTTTTATTCCAAGATAACTCACTACTTTGACAATAATTCTACTCTGTTTTTTTCTGTATTTATGTCCTTGTGGGCTACTATATATTTAGAATTTTGGAAAAGAAAAGAAAAATCCCTAGCATATGAATGGCATACTATGGACTTTGAGGAGGATGAAGAACAGCCTAGACCTGAGTACCTTGCAAAAGTTACTCAACTCAGAAAAAATCCAGTTACTTTGAAAAAAGAACCATATATGCCAATATCTCAAAGATATTCGCGTATTTTTGGTGCATTTGGTGTTGCATTATTTTTTGTTATACTAGTGATCAGCGCTGTTTTTGGTGTTATTGTCTTTCGAGCTGCATTTTATATTTTCCTCATTCGGCAAAATAATCGAGCGATTCGAACTTATTCAAAGATGGTGGTATCAGCATCTGCTGCTTGTGTAAACTTGCTTGCCATCAATATGTTAAAGTTTGTTTATGAGCGCATAGCTGTTAAGTTAACTAATTGGGAAAATCCACGAACATTTACTGAGTATGAAGATAGTTTTACAATAAAGATGTTTTGCTTTCAGTTTGTAAACACATATGCTTCAATCTTTTATGTAGCTTTTTTTAAAAGCGAGTTTTTTGTTGGCAGCCCTGGAAATTATAACAGATTTACTAGTCAAAAATTTCGTTTTGATGGTTGTTCAGTTCAAGGATGTTTCCTTGAATTGACTATACAACTTGTAATCATTATGGTTGGTCAGCAAATAATTGGCAATGTTATGGAAATTGGTATTCCGTAAGCTTATTTTAAAATTTTTATATAACTTTTACAAATATATTTGAAAAGTTAAAAGAGATATAGCTATATATGTTTTGCACTTTAAAATCTTTTAAAATTTTAAAAATAATTTTGGTGCTCCTGTAACATATGTAATTTTGTTATTACTTTCCTAACCTTCACTTCTGTATGATGGGAAAGAGTTTTTCATAACAAAACAATATTTATTGAATATATTACTTGAAGTTTTTGTAGCAAATTATTTTATTTATACATAAAGTAGCTCCCCAGCTATTGTGGCCTTCTTGGCATTAATTAGTTAAATTATATATACCCCTAAAAAAATTTTTAATTCAGAAATTTAAACCAGTGTTTTTTATTATATAGAACACATTAAGAGGGAGGGAGCATATATTTTTAAAAAATGTTTTTTTTAGGACACCCTAATATATATATATATATATATATATATATATATATATATATATATATATATATATATATATATATATATATATATATATATATATATATATATATATATATATATATATATATATATATATTTATACATATTTATATATATATATATAAATATATATATATATATATATATATATATATATATATATATATATATATATATATATACACACATCATGTATACATATATATGTATATATACATATATATATATATATATATATATATATATATATATATATATATTATATATATATATATATATATATATATATATATATATATAAATGTATGTTTGTATATATAAATATATATATAAATATATATAATTATATATATTTATATATTATATATATATATATATATATATATATATATATTTATATATATATATGTATATATATTTATATATATATATATATATATATATATATATATATATATATATATATATATATATATATATATATATATATATATATATATATATATATATATATATATATATATATATATATATATATATATATATATATATATATATATATATTCATATATATATAGTCTTGGACAAAACATTTGCAGCCAACATCGAACAATGCTAAAAAGTGTTGCTAATTTTACATTTCTTCAAAATGAAACAAACTATACTACCACAGCAAACAGTTCGGGAGTCTGGATCCATAGCATACCATGACATGAGCAATCAGCTGACAGGTGACAGCACACAGGCAGAATTTCGTTGACAAGTGCCATTTTGCAGCGGACAAAACAAGTGCAACTTTTTTGGTTTGTTTCATTTTCTTAAGTCTAGTCCTTGTCAACGTCACGGAAGCTTTTTAATAATTAAAGGAAGTATCCAGAAGTTTCCAGAAGCATGCCAAAATTTCCAGAAGAAGCATCTAGAAGCATCCATAAGTATCTAGAAACATTCAGAAGCTTACAGAAGCATCGAAAAGTAGCGTCTAGAATCTTCCAGAACAGGTTCATTTTACTATATAAGAGACATGGTAACCGACATGTAGTTCAGTCAGTATATGGAAGTCAATCAGTCAGTATTATCAAGATCATCGAAGTGAGTTTTATCAAAGTGTTTTATCGAAGAACATCAATACAAGAAGTGAAATACAACAAGTGTTTCATTACATCAATACAGTCCACATCCAACCAAGACATTGTGTTCCACAGAGCATTATTGTATCATCACAAGGTAAATGTAACACGGTAAGCCTTGAGAAACGTGATTATTAATTTTTATTATTATTATGACTTCAAGTACAAAATAGCTCCCAACAATCTTGGATTGGAACTAAGAAAGAAAATTATTGCAGATTAAGTAAGTGGAATGTCACAAAAAAGTATTTGTGATCAGTATTGCGTGAAAAAATGAACCGTATCAAGACTATGTTCCAAATATCGTTCTACAGGGAAGTTGGCAGGAGATAAAAAAGGTGGAAGACTGCATTCCACCACTTCTAGAGAGGATTCTATGATTGTTTGATCCATCAAAAAGGATCCCTGGATATCATCAGTCGAGATACAAAAACAATTAGAGCTGCCTGTGTCGGACCAAACAATCAGACGACATGCTGTTAAAGCCGGATTGTTTTCTCAACACCCTGCAAAGAAACTGCTGATTTCACTAAAGAACCAGAAGAAAAGACTCCTATTTGCTACATCTCATATTGACTGTAATGTGCAGAAATGGGGAACTGTCCTGTTCAGTGATGAATTGAAGTTTAACATCATTGGGAGCGATGGCATTTGCTGTGTACGTCGACCGGCCGTAAAACGTCTCGATTTACGTTACTTCCATAAGGCCGTGAAGCATGGTGGAGGCAATGTAATGGTCTGGGGGGTGTTTTTCTGTTAATGGTCTAGGTCCAATACATCGAATCGATGGAATAATGAATCGTTTCATGTATAAAAATATCCTGAAAGATGTTTTGTTACCTCATGCTGAACGGAATATGCCAATAAAATGGTTTTGTAAGCAAGACAACGATCCCAAACACACTGCAAAAGTAGTCAAGTAGTGATTTCAAGACAACCACCTATCGGTGATGGATTAGCCGCCTCAATCTCCAGATCTCAACCCTATCGAGAACCTGTGGAAGCAATTCCACCAAGTTTCATTGATTACCTGATCAAATCTATGCCTCAAAGATGTAAGGCTGTGATCGACAACAAAGGATTCATCACGAAATATTGATAGCGAAATACAGCTTGGTCAACATTTTGTGGAGTTGCACTTGTTTTGTCCAGAAGGAAATCAATTTTTTTAATACTTTTGATTAATTTATTAATTTTCGTGCACAAATAATGAACTTTGTGATGAATAAAGCTTGAAGAACGTTGTCTCTATACAGTTACATAGTTATTTCTCTAAATTAAAAAAAATGCAGCACTTTTATATAAAGAAACTAAATTTGCATTATTTGGTTGCACTTGTTTTGTCCGATACTGTATATATATATATATATATATATATATATATATATATATATATATATATATATATATATATATATATATATATATATATATATATATATATATATATTTATATATATACATTAAATTTTATTGTTTTTTAAAAATTTTTTTAAAAACCGCAATAATAACGACTAGAAAGTTTTTTTAAATTTGTAGTGTTTTGGTTTTTGTTTTATTAAAAAAAGTTTTTAAAACATGCGTAAATGTTACTACATCGACTATCTTATAGCCTGACTCGCAACGGAGTGCTGCTACATCGACTGACAAATAGCCTGACTCGCAACGGAGTGCTGCTACATCGACTGACAAATAGCCTGACTCGCAAGGGAGTGCTGCTACATCGACTGACAAATAGCCTGACTCGCAAGGGAGTGCTGCTACATCGACTGAAGGTTTGGTTTGGGCAGGCAGTCTATCAATTAAAAAAAAAAAAAAATTAAGTTTTTAAACTTTTTCTGGTCTGGTTTATTAATGCGCTCTTTAAAACTACAGTTTATGGGAAACTCTTTTTAACTACCATGCAAGAGTATATATATATATATATATATATATATATATATATATATATATATATATATATATATATATATATATATATATATATATATATATATATATATATATATATATATATATATATATATATATATATATATATATACATATATAGATATATAAGGCCTTTTTTACCAGATTTTGCTGTGTAACAAATATGCTTAATGCAATTTCTTTCTTTTATTTAACTTTTACAGTTTACCATTAACTGGGGTTACTTTGATACCCGGGGTAACATTGATAGTTTTTTTTGAATTAGTTTTTCAGTATATTATCATAATATATTTTTAATACTATTTTATATCTTTTCTATTTTCAGGTTAAAAATAATTAAACACTAATCAAAAGTTTACAAAGATTATACTAAATTGGTTTGAAAAGTAAAAAATATATTAAAATTGTTAAAAATAAAATAAAATTTAGAATGTTTTTTTAACTTTTTTGTAAAAAAGTGTAAAAAACGTATTCTAGACACTAATAAAATACTATAAAAACATGATTTTTTATATGCCAATATGTACATACCTACCTATCCATAATATAAGGATCTACAAGAGGAAGGATAGGTAGGTCAATCTTTGTGATTGGAAACAATCTTTGTGATTGGAAAATGCCTGTTGATGGATTAGATATTCGTTTAATGGTCAAACATTATCTGGATTACTTTGGTGTTAAAAACAGACAGTTTAACAACAATTTACTAGGGATCGATTGAATGCTAAGTTCTATCAAACTCCATAAGCTGACAACAGGTATTGCTGACAATGTAAAACCTTCACGCGCAGAGGTTTGTGGACAAACTGTGAATGCTTACTTCAATGAATTAGCAAAGACATTAGAAAGCGTTGAACTCTGTAACATTTATAACTATGATGAGACTAATCTTTTGGATGACCCTGGTGAAAATTTAGTCATATGCAGGTGAGGACTTAAAAGATTCGAATGTAAAATGCAATACTCAAAGAGTTGTGTAAGCATCATGTATTTTGGAAATGCTATTGGAATATTCCTACCAACTATGGTAGTATATAAGTCTCAAAATGTTTATCAAGAATGGACCAGAGGTGGGCCAGAAGGAACTTGCTATGACAACACAAAGTCAGGCTGGTTCAATTTAAGAACCTTCGAATGCTGGTTTCTAGAAATATTTCTTTTTAATGTTAGTAAAGATTATGGACCAAAATGTCATAATTGATGACAATCTTGCCTCTCATTTTTCTCTTCCAGTCATTGAAGCCGCCCAACTGAATATGGTTCGTTTTTGAATATGGTTCGTTTTCACCTGTCTGGTACCAAATGCAAGTCATCTCCTTCAACCACTGGGTGTTGCAGTTTTTAGATCCATGAAGAAAGAATGGAAGAGAATCCTGGAATGTTGGCAAAAAGAAAGTCGCATCAAAAATACAATACCAAAAACACATTTTCCTGGGTTATTGTTGAAGTTGCATTGAAAACTAAAATAACAAAACCTGATTGAACACAGC